TCAACACAAAAACACCTTGCTTAACTCCCTTGAGGAAGGTTGTGGGGAGACAGCAGGGCATAGGGGTGTAGGAGGAGCGCCCTGGCTTTCTTCAGACCCAGGTGTGTTAGGACCCATGGGGCTTCATGGCCTTTTCCTGGTTCATGTCAGTCCTGCTCTCACCTCTAGGAAGAGTCTTTGTTATGTTAGAATATGTCCCCCCAAACGTCACATGCTGGAAACATGATCCCCAAGTTCAGTTGTGGAACTTGTGGAAGAGGTCATCTTTGGGGAGGTAAGACAAAATGAGGCCATGCCGGGGGCGTCCGATGATGATTTTGGTGATGAAGGGCAGCCTGAGCTGTCTCCTCAGGTGATGCCCTCTGGCATGCTGCGGCATCACAGGGAAAGCCTCACCAGATGAGGGCAGCACGCTCTTAGACTTTCTCCCTCCAAAATCGCAGGCCTAACAAACCTCTGTTCTTTATAAATAAACATCCCAGCCTCAGGTGTTTAGGTGACTGTGCCATAAAATGAACTAAGAGTTGTCTTTTTCGTGACCCTACTGAGTTACCCCTTTGCAGGGCCGTCTTGTGCCCGGCCCCCCACCTCCTACTTAAGTTTTGCCTTCGGAGACAAGAAGGCAATAGTTATACTGGCAACAGGTGCTGAATCATCCCAGGCAACGCTATGTGGTCCAAGCATGGGTAGCCTCCGCCCCACTAATTAGGGAAGGCTTTTTCTCATGCCGTCAGTGTTTGGCATCCTGTAGGCATGGGCATTATGAGTTAAAGCATCTCTAAAACTTAAGCACTAAATCAGGCCCTTTATTTATAGCTCATTTTACAAATGTGAATTAAAGTGGCCCAGGCTTATGACACACTCAAATTTATTATCCCCACTTGATGGCTTGGATAGTTAAATACTCGGGTGAATAAACTTAGAATTCATTAGGTCTCATTTTCTCATATTTCATATATTTGCAATCGACTCTCTTCCTTGGCAGTTTTCAAACAAGAAAATTAAGCTGGCTCTGAAATTTATGGATGCCTTCTTCTAATATTCCTTTAATTGGAAACTCATATGCAGCTTCCTAAGCAGGCCGCCTGTGGAGATAACTTATATAATTGAGCTACCTTATTGTGTGGCTGCTTATTATTCTGGTTTTTGAGGCTCTCTTATCACTGAAACACTACAGAGGTAAGAACTGCAGAACTGCAGCTGAGAGGATTGGGCTACATTTGCGGGGTTTTTGTTTTTTGAGTCTTTTGGTTGATGTCAGGAAGGACTGGTCACTTACAGGTTTACTGTACACTATTGAATATTAATAGGTTAGCTTTAAAGACCCTTAGCCCCTGGATAACACGGTGTTTTCTGAAATAATTAGGAGACCACAGGAGCTTTTCCTATGGGTAAAGGAAGACTGTCTTTCCAGACCCTGGGTCTTTAAAAATGTATTCTGTTACCACTTGTACCACGTGAGGGTATGGCTTTGGATATGCTATTAACACTTGGAACAGAGAGGGGTGAAGACCAGAGGGAAAGAAATGCAATGGCATTTCTGAGAGGGCCACACTGTACAAGACTCTCTGAGGTGTGGCAAAGACGAGACATTGTAGCTAGAGTTTTCCTGCCTTGCCCACAGTCAGGACAAATCTTTGTCACCTGCCAGTCCCATAGCTGCTCAGACCCAACCAAGTAAGCACAGAGACTTATATTGCTTACAGACTGTATGGCCGTGGCAGGCTTCTTGCTAACTGTTCTTATAGCTTAAATTAATCCATTTTCATAAATCTATACCTTGCCACGTGGCTTGTGGCTTACTGGTGTCTTCACATGCGGCTTGTCATGGTGGCCGCTGGCAGTTTCTCTGACTCAGCCTTCCACTTCCCAGAATTATTCTCCTCCTTGTCTGGCCTATACTTCCTCCTGCCTGGCCACT